AGAGACACAGCGATGTCATATTTTTACTTGACATCACTAATAATCAACATCATGATTAAGGCTGACAATGACAACAAAAGAAATATTTTTTTAATCTCCTGAAGAATCATTTGTTTTTCCTGACATAACATTTCCTGTTTCCTCTTGTAACACAGTGGGATACTTTACCACAAGCTTCTAGAAACTAAATGTCACACAAACAGCGATTAAAAAGAAATTAAGTCAAAAGGTTCCATCAGCACCCCTGAAGACTGACTTTTGCAGCAGCTATAGGTGATATGCATGAGAAGTCAATACAAAATTTATCATGGAAAGAACAGCCAAGATAGGGAAAGCATGGAAATAATCTAAGAACTCAAGTACAGGTCTCTCCCAATCACTGAAACAATTTTTATTTTTCCTTCTTCCTAAGACTTTTACTGTGTAGACTTCTAGAGCCAAATACACATCAAATACTTCAATCAGTCTATTCTCTTAGTTTCCTTTGGTTCTTTCTAGAAGGCTGCTGTAGTTTATTCCTGATACACCACAGCAAAACCGAAAAGCTAAGCAACAATAAGCCTCACTGACAACAACGTGGATTAAAATTTGTAAAACGTAGGTCTTTGCCAATGAACTCTCTCATTTTTCTCCCTTACTATTCTCTTTCATTTGCTTCTATAGCCTCCACTCACTGTTAAGTTTCTGTTACCATTCTCTCCTGATGAACAGATCATCCTTGTCTAAGGGGACTTCCTTACCACCTCTGGGTCATGCTCAGGTGAAATCCTGACTAAGTCTGAAGACATATCCTGTGATGTACTGAGACACCCAGCTCTGTGATTCCACGATGTTCTCCCAAGATCATAGTATTGTACACGAAATGAAAACTGTTACTTTTACTCCCAGATGATTTGTTACTAACAGACCGCTGCTTCTCTTAAATCTCAAATTGAAATTGGTCTCTTAAACATTTAACTTTTCAAATGCCAGAGCTGCAAGGGACAAACTCAATGCAACTATTTATAGTTTGGGATCTTTGTTTTTAGGTGGAAACTTCAAGCATACAGCTTTAAGAATAAACATTCCCTCTCTCAATTTCTTCTCATAAAAGGCAATAGTGGTCATGGGACTTAGTTAACTCAAACACAGAGAAGCCAAGCTCAGCATTTTGGGCTTCATTTAGGTATCAGCCTTCAGTCCTACATGTCCCCTTGCTAAAATCCAGAGAAATACAGCACAGAACAGAGATATGGTTGCCCTGTCTCAACTACCACACTTGAAAACAAATTTTAACACTATTTAGCCCTCTAAAACCAAGATAATGAAGAACTAAATGGAGCACACCGCAATTTTGAAGCACTACAATAATGCTGGCCAAATATACTGAGAATAGTTCAAAGTGATATTACAGTAAATGACATTTGGAAATTTTTAATTATATGACACTATTTTGCTGTGACCTAAAATTTAATTCCACGATTTTTCTGTATACATGTTAACAGCTTTCACTTTACTACTTACAGTCACCCTGAGCCGCACAAGTTGACATGTATCTTACTATAAATACATCGTGAATTCTGAAAAATTATATATTACCTTATTTCAGTACTAACTTCTGTATTTTTGTGTTAGCGCTGGTCATCCTAACACACAACTTCTCAGCGTTACTAATAGTGCACATAAGTCTTTGAGATATACTGTGGAATTTGTGAAAGTAGTATTTCAGAAGGAATATTCTGACAAAGCCAGAAAACTCTGTAACGCTTAGCTAGTGTGGGATGGCGTGTAAGCAAAATAGGCTGAGCACTTGAGAACAAGGTCAGCTGAAAATATCTCTAGTTCACTAGACCTGAACTAAACATGAGATTTGCCTAAGGAAAGGTGTTCATCAACAGGGTTTATATTCACATTTCCCCATCTGCAATGTCTCATCTCTAACAGCAGAGTATGCTGAGTCACTGTGGAGGGTGAGATGGGGGACATAGTGGAAATCTTGTAACTCACAGAACAGACAGTGAGCACAGTAACTCCACCATTCACCTTCAGAAGACACTACTTCCAAGATCAAAAGGAGCAATGTTGAATTCCAGAACACCTCATATAGCTGTCTGTCAGGTCAGTTTGGGTTTGGTTTTGGAGTGGGGGGTTGTTTGCTTCAGAGGGTGGCGGGGGGAATGCTTTGTTTTTAAACAGGATTGACGCTTTGGGTAATTATTTGATTTGAAGCTCTGCTAGGAAGATTTACACAAATCTAACTTAGACAACTTAAAAAGGAGCTTACCCTTTCTTGCCAATTACGAGTTTTTAATACATTTACCTCTCTTGGTGATAAAATTCTGTTGATCACTTCTTGCCAAGCCAAACATCCTCGGGTGCCCATTTTTGTAATTAAGCTTCTAAAATTAACCTAAAAACCGCTGTGCTTTTTAATCTTTGTAGTAGGACCATTGCTAATGACTTCTTGCAGCTGAAGCCCTGCTTGTACTCATACTGATAACATTATCTTAATTTGTCCTTGACATTAAAATAGTATTGCAGAGTAACTAGCTCCTCTCTCTCATTCGCAGTGCATTTAAAAAACAAACAAACAAACAAATAGAACCAAACAAGCTTTAACACATTTACGGTCCTGCTCAAAAGTAGACTTTTCCCAAATCTTAATAATCCTGTGGAAACTCTATGATCATTTTCCCTGTTTGCCAAGCAGGATTCTTCATGTTAAGTCTGGACACTTCGCTACAAATGAGAGTTTCCTCCCATTCCACCCTAAAAACATTTCTCCAAAATAATTACAACTTTCCAAAAGTGTTATTTCACTAGGACAGTATATGCATATGCCCAGCTGAGGGAAGAAGGAGACTGTGCGCTTCTTACCTTACATTTATTTTTCAAAGGGAGAGTAACATCAGTGAATGGTAGGTTAGACACAAAGTAAGAGCAGAGACAAGAAAAGATCTGAAGATAAATAAACACAGAATCACAGGCAGAGGAACAGGTAAGAAAATGTAATGGAAAAAAGAACTCAGGATTGGTTATAGAAGATCGTATTTTTCAGAAGTCTACAAGGGATTTTTGCTTATTGAAAAGGCCTAATCGTAGGAGGGATCGAAGAAACACCTACTTTTCAGAAAAGGTTAAAGAAAAGATCATCAAGAGGCAGAATTAAAATGAGTTAACAAAAGGTTTCTATTCATAATCTAACACGTATTCCTCACAAACTATTACTTTTAAAAGCAGCTGTCCTAAGTCACAGTCACACTTCCAAGACTACCAAAGTCATTTTTGGTGACCAGTACCATGCTTACATTTGCAATTCTCACTTAGACACTGAGTGGCCTACTCAAGCTGAGTAGTATCTTTCTCAACTCTTGAAGAGTCAACAGTAGTTTAGGAAGCCTGAAATGCACTGTGGTTTAATAACACTGTTCTGTCAAGAGCATTGAAACAATAATTTTGTTTTTCCAAAAGCATTAACACGCACTATAGGGTTTTTCCATGGGCTATTTAGTCACAAGTCTAGTGACCAAATTTAACACATTGTTGTGGTTTAACTACAGTAGGTAGCTAAGTACCACACAGCTGCTCACTCACTCCCCCTAGAATGGAAAGGGGTAGAGAATCAAAAGAGTAAAAGTGAGAAAACTCACAGGTTGAAACAAAGACTGTTTCATAGGTCAAGCAAAAGTCGTGCATGGAAGTAAAGCAAAGTAAGGACTTCATTCATTGCTTCCCATTGACACACAAACAGGTGTTCAGCCATCTCCAGGAAAGCAGGGCTCCATCATGCATAATGGTTACTTGGGAAGACAAATGCCCTAACTCCAAGTGTTCCCCCTTCCTCATTCCTCCCTCAGCTTTCACTTCTGAGCATGATGTTATATGGTATGGAATATCCCTTTGGTTTTGTGCACCTCCAGGCTACTTGCTGGTGGGGTGGGGTGAGGCGCAGAAAAGGGCTTGAGGCTGCGTAAGCCCTGCTCAGCAATAGCTATAACATGCCTATGTGATCAGCAGCACTATGTGGTCACAAATCCAAAACACAGTACCATATGAGCTACTATGAAGAAAATTAACTCTATCCCAACCAAAACCAGTACACATTTTCTGTTTCCATAAAATTATTTTGAATATTGTTTTAAAAAGATATATATGGTTAAATTGATCATTCCCAAAGGACATTTTCTCTCCCTTAGACAACACAAAGAAATCACTAGAAAATTTATCTCATAAAGGCTAAGAAGTAGAACGCGTTATCAAGGCTAGTTCTTCAAATAAGCTTTAGTAGAAGACTGTCATAAGATCCCTGACTACCTTCAAATTCTACATATATCATGACTGCTGGGGGAAAAAATACAAGAAATAAAAAAATAATAATCTATAAAAGATAACATACAAGAGCCCTTTAGTGACATTCAAACCTTTACCATATTTGAAAGCTGCTTTAAAGAAAAGAGTTTCTCATTTTCTGTACTGTTTAACAGCTCGCTCTTGTGACCACAAAGGCTTCTCCTTTTCCACAACTTCCACAATGTATTTCTTTATTACATATTTGCTCTACAGCCAGTGTAAACAAGAGAGACTGCTGTTGAGGACTTAACAGAGGACCAGTTGCCTAGTTTCAAAGAGAAATTTGAGAAAGAGGTGATGCAGCAGCCTAAAAAGGAGCACTGTGATGCTCTGGTAACAAACACACCACTTACAGGTTAACTTCTTCATCTCCTTTCAATTTCACTGCCTAAATAGTTCAAACATACTCTGGAAATGGGAAATTTTCCAACAGTGTTCAGCAGACTGTTTCAAAGCACCATCTTTTCTTAGGCAGGTGGAAATCAACCAATGTCTATTTTAAGGCTGCTTTCAACCTTAATTCTGATGCATTGCTTGTTACCGAGTTACAAAATACCCAATCACTTTTGGTGTTTAAATTTACTCTGAAGTTCTTACTCATACAAATAAGATTAAAACAGAAATGAGAATCAATAACTAATGATACAAGCAATAAAACTGGAAGTACTTACATTAAACTTAATAATGTCATATATCAAGTACCGAGGGACAACCTGTCCGTTAACCTTGTCGATGATCATTTCCTTAAAAGAAAAGAGATGACATTTATCTTTATTTCATAAATATAAAAGTATGTCAACAAGTTTATACTTAGCGCACATACCTGTAAGCGTTATGCAGTCAGACACTGGCCATTTTTATTATGAAAAAGATTTTACAATAGGTCAAGATTATAAAAAATATTATTGTGGTCTTAACTGTCTCTCATGAAGCATTCAGTAAGAAGCCAGGAAGCTGTACTAAGGCTCCACATTCTGATCTGCAACATTTATAAATTAGTTTACTCACAGCTTTCAAAATCACTACCTTTCTTGAGATTTTTAGAAATCTCAGTACAAACTGCAATGCTAAGTCAACCAAGCACTTTTGAAAATCTTGCCTACAATAAGAAGTACAACAGTAAGGAAGTAAAGATTAAGCATTAACATCCATTTTCTGTGCTTAGGTTGGACCTTTTCAGGTTAACAGTGTCCTAGGCAGGAGTGACAACTGCAATTTGTTTAAATGTTGCCTTATGACGAAACAGTAGGGTTCCTTCAAATGGAAATATCACAGATACTATCTGTATCACCCGTTAACATTCAATATATACTGGTAAATCATCTTGAAAATAAGTCAGCTAGAAGAAAGAAAGACTATTAACAATCAACATCCAAACACAAAAGTGTTTCCTGAACTTAATGGTTGTCCTGGGCTTGGCTGGGTATATACAAAAATACACAGATCCTACATGCTGGTGCTTACATCTGTAAACCAGGCTTCCTATGATATGACTTAGACACAGCTTATTAGTTTGATAAACTAATAGAGAATATTTAGTTTCATATAAATTAGTCATGATCGGAAATGGTAACAATCAACCAACTGGTAGACCTTTTTCAGAGACATCTTTGCAATATTCACTTCTCTAAACACAATCTTCTTCCTTCCTCCATCCCCCTGTTCAATTCTTGGCTAGTAAGTTAGTTGCATCAGCTAAGGATTTTTTGCTGCCAAGATCAAGTTAAAATTCCAAGTTCACACATTTGAGATAAAACAACTGGAAAAGGTTAAAATATTTCACTATAACATGATGAAAACAAAATTGTGAGCTCAGGAATTATTCCAAAAGAGAACCTTACATCAACTCAAATTAATTTTGTTTAGTTTGTTTCTTGCTGGGCCATTAGCATTTTTATGTTTTACAACCTTTTAACTTCTCTTAGAATCCATAACTTCTACAAAGTAAACTGAAACAAAGAGTCTCAATGTAAGATTGATTTTCAATCTGTCCACATACCAGTCTTCTTGAATTGTACTTAGCATTTAATTGCACTTGTCTTTGAAAATAAGCAAGCAGTTGTAAAAATATAGATTTGTTTTAAAGCAAACACAAAGCTTGAAGCATTTAAAACTAAACTAGAGACACAAACTTGTTCTCAAAAAAACATTGGGAACTCTAAGTTGCCTACTTAATATTTTGGAATCTCATCTTCTGTGAACACAATATTGAGATGGAGAGTGGGCTCTCACAGCCAAATGCAGCACTCACAGGTGTTGTGAATTACTATCCAAAGTGACCTTATACATCTTTCCACATCATTAAAAAAAAAAATTAAAAAAATTTATTCAATGTGCAAAAAATATTCCTTTGTAACATTACAATATTTCATCCCTAACTGTAAAAATCATTTAGTCATATTTATTGTCAAACAGCATTTGCAAAAAGTCCACATAGAAGTGATGTAACAAAACATAATTTTGTTATTTTCCAATATTTAGGTAAGACGCTGCTGTGCTATCAAAGGAACAGCAGATGCAACACTGCAATGCCTTCCTTAACAATAAATTTTATAACTAACTGCAAGAACAAATGGAGTAGGTACGCCCTAAGAGAGAAAGAAGGCACGATGATCAAACTTGGAAGAGTGTGTAAAGATACAACAAAGGGGAAGACAAAAACAGGGAGAAAAAACGCTACTCAGAATTCCTGACAGTAATCAGGTGAAATGAATATCAAAGTAAAACAGAAACAAAAGAATGCTACAATATTTCTTTAAAGTTTCAATTTCATTAGCAGGTAAAAAAGTTTTTAAAATACATTTAATTGAACATATATTTAAGGTTTAAGGACTCATTTCCTCAGCACACATATTCAGAGCCTCCGCTTTGACACCAAGCTAGCATTTATATGCAAAACCCTGAAAACATATCAATGCCTTGTATTACAAGATTTTATGCTTAATTTTCAAAATCTCAATCTCTGGATATTCAGTTTAAGAAGAATTCTAAAATACAACCAAGAGGATCATGAAGGATTCTTAAACTTTCTCTGGAATGTTCCATTTTAATTTTATAAAGAAACTTTTTCTCTACTTGAGACATGTATAGACCTTTTTGACTCTATTACTGGTCAAACTAGCATCATTCCTCACATCCTCACTTCTTTTCTTCCTCCCTTGCCTCTTGTTCTCTTTTCACATCCTGACTGAAAACCCAGCTACCAGAGCAAATAAACAGCAGCACAATATGCCTTAGAAGTAGAGATGACAAATTCCTGCACTCCTCATCTCCATCATGACAACATCATCACTGCTCCATTAGTTACGCAGATACAACTGTCGTAAGGTAAAAGCTGTAAAGTGATCATGAGAATGATTCAGACTAGAAATACTCTCACACATCATTATTTAACAGTCTGATTTCAGAATCTTCCTTGAAATTATGAGAATCAAAAAACACTTCAGGGAATAGATCTCAAAGGCAAGTTCAGAGACTGTTTGGAAAATGCAGTATTTGAGAAAGTGATCACATTCACATTCACTCATTCTGAGCTGAGTCATAACCTGATACTAGTAAGGTTATATTTAAGCCAATTTTTAGATAAGTAAAAACTTAAACACAAAACAACTCACCTGACACAATAATAGAGCACAAAAGTATCCATAAGACACACCTGTATCCATGCTTTTCCTTTTATAGACCCCATGGAGATTTACAGCCACTATTGTGGGTTTTAAAAAATTACCACTGCTAGTAAGTATGATCTTTACCTCTTGTCCATTAGCTGCTAGGTTAGGTATCAGCTTAACCTGTAGGCTTGCAGAACAAGGTCTCGTGGCCAGTTTCTTTGATGTAATCTGGCAAAACTGCGCTGGTGTTAATCTCCTTTTCTTAATCTTCTGGTGCTGCAGAGCATAGTCTTACAGCTTATTAGAAACAGCAACTGTGCTAAGAGCTTTTAGCTGGACAAGTACCAAAAGAAAAATCCTGGACTGACAGCTCATGGACTTTTTCCTTTTTCCTTGAATCACATATCTAGCAAGCAACTTGGACTTAAAATAATCCAAAATTTAATCACAAAGCAAAGGATCTCATTTTACCAGCCACTTGCAGAAGGTATTTTTTGTTGCCACAGACTATGGAATCAGATCTAATCACACATCTGTTTATTGCTCCTTGCCTTTCCTTTGTCCCTTTATCTTTAACACAATTCCAGCCACTGCTGTATTTCAGAGAGTTGTTTGTTGGGGATTTTTAAATCTGTTTTGCACAAAGTAAAGTACCAGCCTTTGCAAACTCAAAAAGTTGTAAGTTATGCCATTTCCGAAAGAGCTTACAAACAAGTGAGGTTGGTACTGATATAAAAACATAAACCCATCTCAATCTCACTCTCCACTGTTGGAGTCCTTGGCCATCCTAAGTCTTCAAGTGTGAACAGTATTTTATATGCAAATAAAAGGCAATATATACAAAATTGTAAAAATTATTTTGAGCCTAAGAACACCTCTGCATTTTCTACTCAACTCTTCCAATGCTAAGCAGAATGCCAAGAAAGTTCCTGAAAACAACTAATTAGTTCTCTTGCATGACAGCCAAAATGCTTGAACAAAACTCTATGCATTCCCTCAGACAGCAGTACGGATGCTGTCCGACAGATGCAAAACATTTGGCTTCTAAAGGAATACTTCATATTATACCAGTCACCTGTAGGTAATATTCAAATTAGCTTTAATGAGTTTTGCAGAAAACCGTCTTCCATGCCAGGAGAACAATCACAACCGAAGAGCTGGAGCCGAGCACGGAGTATTGCAGGAGATCTCTCATCACCCAAGACGTAACCGATCATAGTAAGAACTGTTTGCAAGTAATTTCAGCCTGAAGTGAACCGTAAATGCATTCGAAATTCTCAAAGACAACCACATGAAAGGCTTATACCAGAAGCCTTAAAGCAAGTTAATAGATCACTGAATTCATGGAAATTGCCTTTATGAAAGTTTTACATACACTGTCATTCTAAATAAAGTTATGGGAAATTACCTAATCTTTTGTATTCTTAACACCAGTAGTTGTTTTGCAATGGCACTTATAACTCTGTTTTGTCTTTTCTCCTTTCTCATACTTTTTAAGATTACTGTAAAGCAGTGCCAATTGGGCCACTTCATGCTATACTTTCATTCTCTGAAACAGAGAAAGCTACTTCAAGGGCATTAAGTATGAACTACTTCAACTCGTAATTAAAGAATTAACTTCAACAGCCTTTCAGCACTAATTAGCAAAATATGTTAGGACAAAAAAGCCAATTTTTTCTTCCCATAGATTAAAAAAAAGAAAGAAATCATGTAAAGGAATAGTCACAGAAATTATCATTTAGCATAAACATTAAACAAATATTTATTTACAAAGTTAAGCTGTTCTGATGCTTAAAATAACAAGCAAATTTCATTCTCAAACCTGTTGAAAGGAATTCCAACTGAAAAGAAAAATATTACATCAAAAGCTTTTTTTTTTGTAACTGACCATACTTAAATAAATCTAGAAATCTGTACTATGAAAAGTATATATCCAGTGAAAGGTTTTATTTTTATCTGAATGTAAATCATTCAACCAATACTTTTTCACTTCATGCCATTTTGCTTCCTACTTCATGAAAAACTGGAGGGGTGGGGGAGGGTGGGGGATTGTGTTTGAAATCATAGTAAGACTAATTTTATGTCAATAAAGTAAAACAATAAACTAAGTGAAGTTATAGTTCATGTCCTGGGTAACTGAGAGAACTCCATTTACTCTTAAGAGACTTAACCATGCATCTGGGAAACACAACACACCAGATCAGAGCCCCTCTCCCATGCCCCACAGCCACATTTATGCACATATCTCAATATATGGGCATCCCTGTCTTCCACCACGTACGTATTAGCCACTCTTACCAAATCATCTGTTTTGAAATGCAAACAAGAGAGCAGCAGTTTCCCTGAAGAACACCTAGGATTGCACCATATGGACACTGGCAAGCCATTACTTTCTCAAGAGCCTTAGAAAGACCCGGGTGCGGGAGGGAATAGCACCAGGCTTTTTGTCTCAACAGCATGGAATCTAATATATGTCATTAAGAATATTATTATGTATGTCATTAGGAAGCTGCCTGGCTGAAGAGGCTCCTACCAGACATGACAGCTTGTACAACCACTTTTGAGCTGACAGCACAGCATTTCTTCCATGATGCTCTCAATTTTTCAGTGAAGCAGAGGTGGTGGAAAATATTCCATTATCTGCTTCTCTATCCCTGAGACAATACGTTGTTCCTTGCAATAATTATCCTCACAGGTTCAATTCATACATGCTTCACATGTAAATGCATGTTCAGTAAGACAGATCATTCACAGAAGTGACATTTCAGGAAGGATACTGACAACAAAGGCCAGAGAAAGGAAAGTTAACAATGACAATATGGTCTCCCATATCTGAAAGGTGCATTAGGCTTCAGAAGACTAATATGGAAGATCACAGAATCACAGAATGTTAGGGATTGGAAGGGATCTCAAAGGATCATGTAGTCCAATCCCCCGGCTGGAGCAGGACCACCTAGAGCAGATCACGCAAGAACGCATCCAGGCGGGTTTGGAACATCTCCATAGAAGGAGACTCCACAACCTCTCTGGGAAGCCTGTTCCAGTGTTCTGTTACCCTTACTGGGAAGAAGTTCTTCCTCATGTTTAAGCCGAACCTCCTATGTTCCAGCTTATATCCATTTCCCCTTGTCCTATCATTGGATGCCAGTGATCCAAGGATAGGATGATCCAAGATCATCTCGGATATTCAGTGCTTCAGCAAGCAAGAGTTACAGCAATGTAGAGAGCCTCCAGTGTTACTGAAACATGATAGGAAACCGCATTCATCTACACTGACAGTTATTTAGTGTAAGAGCTAATGAAGTTCTTTTGCTTATGTAAAATAGGAAGGTCAAGAAAGAAATAATCTCTTCTTGTGGCTACTGTTCTGAAAAGTGTACCAAGAATAGTCCAGGCCAGCCTTCAAACATTAAATACAGGTGTTTTACAGCTTGTTTTATAACTAGCTTTAAAAGTTCATTATCAAGTTTATATAATTTAAATTAGCACGACAACTTAGAAATGCTTTAGTCTTAAACAAATATATCTAAGCCATTTCTAAATCGGTCAATAATTTAGATGAGCTGAAAATAAAGGTGACAGAAGCAAAGACATCAATTCACAAAATATCAAAATATGACGAAAAATTTAACAAATTTTAGAAATATTTACATTAACTGGATCAAATTGACGTTTATTGTACCAAAATATAAAGCTATAACAAGAGATGAGGCTCTGTAATAATTTCTTTAGATTCTTTTCAAGCTTTTCACATATTCAGAGAATGTCATCTCAATTTCTTGATTTATTTCACAGACAAACAGCTCCCCCCAGAGCAGTCACCACTGCTATTCTGTAGATAAGAAATTACTTATGAAGTGTGATTCCCACATTCAGCCAGTCACTGACGCTACATTACTCCTGAAATCCCATGATTCACTGTTCCAGGCCTGAAAACTTGGCCCTGTTTCTGAACAAAAGCAAGCAGCACTGAAATTGTTACCATAACTATACAGTATGCTTCTTACCCCATCCAGAAGAGTGTTTGTTAGATGCATGCGAAGATCTTTACGAAATGGAAATTCCAGATTAGAGACATGAAAAATCGAATTGTCTCTATCAATCATATAAACTTCATTCCTGCCATCAATCAGCATCATGTACCTGCAAAGGCAATGTTAAAATATTATATTTAGAGGTATATCATCTAAATCTCACTATTTCGATTTATATTATGTGCTAAAAAAAAAAAAGGTAATCATGACAGACGTTATAAAAAAAGCATTTTAGAAGGAATTTTTTTACAGTTAAAAGTTTAAACCTCTTGCTTCAGGAAAGTGGATAATTTAATTCAATGCCATTATCACCAAAAAAAATATTTCAAAGATGAAAGTTCAGAATACATATATATATTATATATATAAAATAATGTTGCTGTGTCCAGATAAAATGATGCCTGAAAATCTATTAAAAATAACAGAGGTTTTAATGCTGTAAGAAATACATGAGGCTAATTCAGTTTGATTCAGCTAAAAGATCTTTTACTCCAGTTTTTCCTTTATTAAGTGGACCAGAACTTTGCCTGGCATAAATCTGCACAGTTTCATTCAAAAAAACCACTTTTTCTCTCACAGTATTGCAAAGTCCCAGCCAACTGTTGAGACACTTTCCATTAAAGCACTGGAAAATTTAGCCAAGGTACATTCCTGTCACATGACACACAAAAGAAAACCTCAAAGCTTACTACACTACCACTAGCAACTTGTGAGCTTGGTTCAGTTGCAGACATCTGAGTTTTCTAAACATTTCTTTACATTATGACAATACTTGGGAGCCCAAGTCACTAATTTAGACCTCTGTGCTAATCCCACAGAAGACACTCTATAGATGTAACACTCTGTATATAAGAAAAAACAGTGAACAAGTAAAAAGAAAAATACAGTGAAAAAATATCAAGACCAGGAGAGATGTTTAAGAGCCTAATAGCTGTAACGCATCTGAATTACCTCTGTAAAGTTTCATTTGATCTTTGCAACAAGAGAACTAAAGTAGAGTTTCAGAAAGAATAACAAGGCAGCTGCACAGACAAAAGTCTTCTCAAACTTGTGCAGCAGCCTAGGAGAGCACATCTCCCTTCCGACTGCAGAAAATAAACTGAAGAAATTTCAGAGGAAACTAGTCAAAGGCCAGATGAAACAAGTCAACATCTTTGCTGTGAATGAGAAGTAATAAAGGTGCTGAGCATATACCACAAGCAGTTGAAAATGAAAACTAGCAGCTTGAATCTAACATGGTAAAGAAATTGTTGTGGGGCTCAGGAGGTTGGCAAAGTAAAAAAGACCAGAAAATTGTCTTTTTGGAACCCACAAGATGTGATTGCACTTAGTAAGATCAGTGGAAAGAACAATACAGTTACCAAGGCATGCACGAATGATCAGAGAGGAGACACCATGGCTTAACAGCAGTGCAAAAAATGAAGAGTATGAGACACAAAGTTGACATGAAGACTCAAAAGTAAGTCCAAGTTTGGGGTGTCGGCCAAACCTGAGTTGTATCAGTTTTACTAATCACCACCTGAGTTGCTGTAACTGAACTTATGCCTGATCACGCCATAACTAATCATGTTGCTGGTCTACACCAAAACTGAGAACGTGACCCTAAGCTGAACTTTCTTTCACTGATCCTTTCATTTCAACTTGCACATAGATGTGCTGAAAGCACAAGTGTTGTTACAGACGTTCTACTGAGAAAATTTAAAATCACAGAAACCCCAAAAGAAAAGAAGAGCACTATCAACTGTCAAGATAGTTCAATTGTTCTAAAAGTTCACAACATTTAATGTTCTTGAATAGCCTCTGATATAAACAGGGAAGGGACACAAACCTTCCCAGAGCAACTAACCCATTTGGATTGCAGTACAGTTTTTTTGACAGCACTGAATAGGGAAATACTTGATTAAAGTATTATAGGAGCTCCACCATCCACACTAGAATATTTTGAATGAAAGGACTCATATTTTGAAGACTCATTCAGCAAAGAACTTTTCATACTTGTAAAAGTCTTTGGATATATGGGTGGGGGGGAGGGGAACAGTACTTTTCATAATTCATCTATTTCTCCTTGGAAAGTCCTGGTTATGAAGAAACAACAAGCTATCAGTAGTCTTTTCTAAAATTCACCATTGCTCTTACAAGTAATGCCCACAGGATCTCTGCTGTCAAAACAAAGCAGCAAGCATCCCCCAGAAACCCTGCAGGCAAACAGTCTACACAGGCGGCTCTCCTGTTGTCTGTGCAGATCCTGCCTCTAGAAATCAGATCTGACTACAGGAGCACAGCACCACCCATGCAGCTCAAACAAATACTATCTTTCAGTGTTATGACTACAATCATAATTCACTACAGATCAGCTTAACTAGCATTTCTCCACACACAAGCTGAGTACTTCAAGATGTTACGTATCAGTTGGGGGAGGGGGGGGGAGTGGGAAGACATTTATGAGCAGAAAACCTTAAGCAGGGGAGGGAGTAGATTAAATCAATGCAACATTAGGAGAGCAGAAAGCTGCACATGAGATGCTTTATGGAAAAAATAATTCAATATACATTCAACTAGATAACTTGGCGCCAGCTTTTCAGAAGCAAGAATAACCTACAGACAACATTCATTTTTCAAACCATGTAAATTTATTCAAAACTAAAACTAATTATAAAGAGCATGCTGTGTTTTTCTCAAAAATTAAAGAAACCATGGGCAGGGAAGAAGAGGTGTGTAAGTAACAAAAAAATTACACACACTACTTTTAATTTTATAAATCAGCTTAATTGGCCTTCTCTGCATGCCCACATTCACTGCTGTTTTAAGTACACACTTTCATTGTAACTTGCTTCAACGACAAAATATCGTCTAATGCTTCAAGAGATCTGGCAGTTAAAAAAAAAAAACACACTTGCATCATTACAAATGTGGTACAATAAGAGATCTTACAATTGCTTTGAAAAAACAAACAACGAAAAAAAAAAACCAAACAAAAAAAATCCACAAACAGTTAAAAGCCACCTAAAACATCTACAGGTTCAGACAACATACAGAAGATTTCAGTAAAAACTATTACTAGAACATCAAAACTAAGGCTAACACATCACCACTTTCTCTAGATCTTTCACTCAAAACAAAATCTACAGAAATTTACTTAAGAGTTGGTAGCTGGAAGGTCACCAACCACCAGCAGTGAGATTCCTTCTCTTTCAAAACACAGCACTACATCTCTTCTCCCATGATTTCTCTTTCTCTTTTAAAATGTCACTGTCAGCTGTTCATGCCATAAATTCTAACTGACAGGGACAATGGCAAGTCTTACGACTGCATGCAAAAGATTTCCAATCAAAGATCACCAGGAATCACAATTACATCTTACTTCAGAGTGCTACTGAGAAATAGCATGTGCTTACTTTTAAGACAAAAAAAAAAAATATTGGTCTCAGGACAATAAATTACCTTAATGTAGACCCATTTGTCATAGGTCTCATTATAATATATTTGCCTAACTTAAAAGCTGAACAAGTTCTCTGCACAAGAAAGACATTAGACTGACCCAGATATGTCTGTTTTGAAAGGCTTTTTTGTTCATTTTTTTTAAGCTCAAAGCCTAAAAACACCTCCACCCCCTAATTTAATAAACTATTAAAAAAAAAAACACCTCTGAATGTGGTCCAAACGGAATTTGTCAAAATTATTGCCAACATAAGACAGAATAAATTTGGTCAAAGATGGACCAACAATCAGAAATGTTCTATGAGCACCTGATAACTGAAAACGTGCAAGAAGCAAAAGAGATATGCAGCCATGCCAAGGTTTTAGTGAAACTGAATTTATTAATCAATGAGGGGTGTTGGTCAGTTGGTTGGTTGGGTATTTTTGTTTGTTTGCTTGTTTAACTCAAAAAACCTAAGTTCATGTGCTTAATGTCAGGCTTTTAAATTTTCTCCAGATGACACTTCAAGCTTCCCGGACAAATCTTATAGACTGCCGATAAGTACATTTCTGAATATTACTTGGATGTGCCCTTTCTAAATATTATTTGGGTGTGCCCTGGCCGGCTGTATTTCAAGAAGTTAAGGAAGCAATCAGCAGTATAAGCACTTACACCAGAACAGAGAGGGCGCCTCTGGGTAACACCACATAGGCAAGGAACGAACAATGATTTCTCAAATACATGCAACAGGAACTAAAACAGCACATAGGAGCTTAACTGTCATGCATTGCATTGTATTGCACACTGTGAGCATTACTTGCTATCACAGCTGCACATTTATTACTAATTATCTCTACTGTGTGAGCACCCAAAAGTTCCAATTAGTAACCAGGCCCCATTGTATTAGATTCCGTGCAAGTACACAAGATGGCACAGTCCTGTATCAGATGGCTCAATCTGAATTAAAAACAAGTGAATAAAAGAGCAAGAGCGGAGCAGTAACAAGAGCAATAACAGAACTGCTCATTCACCTTTGATAACTGTACATGAAAGCAGAAAATCACATTGGAGTGACAAACATCATCTCTCCAAACTGCCAATACAACCACTACAAACCAGCCAGTTTCCATTGCAACAAAATTTCTGACAAGTGCGTTAAAGAAAAAGGGGTCACGGTGTCCATACAGATTAATCTCATAAGCAAATAAAATATCTAGTCATAGAAATGTTAAAATCTGAAGTTTCATTAGAAGCTACTTCTCATTCGCTTCTGGTCCCGAGGCAAGGTCCATTATTAATTCTAATTGGACATTAGTATTAACACGATAATTCAGGAAATAGGACAAAAATTTCATTAGCAAAGAGTTACAGCTCTTGGCATTAGACAAGCAGATATCCAAATCACCTACCAGAGTATTAACAACTTTAATCTTTAAACTTTAAAAAATGTCAACCACCAAACATCATCTTGAAAAGTTTTCTCTTCAGAAATCAGTTATTTTTAGCATACCGAAATAAAGGCAACTGTTTCAAAGGCTCATTTGCCTCCATATATGTTCATGCAGTCCACATCAGCTGGGCCCAAAATACATGCTAGAAGAATGACTTCATTAAACGTCTATTTTTTGTTTAGTTTGGTTTTTTGATGATGGTGGGTTTTTGGTTTGGTTTTCAGTTTGGTTTTCTTTTGT